CCCCCTTTTTTTTAAAAAAAAATGCCTGAAAATTCTTTTCACAGCTAATAATTAAGAGTTATTTACCGTAGAAACTATTTTTTTCCCTATTTTTAACAATTAACTAGTCTGAAGGTGTAGAATTCTGTGTAAATGAATTACATTTATTCATAACTCACTTATGAAATAAGAGAAAAGTAAAGAAACGAAAGATCCAGAGAAATAACAAACTTTCAAGAATAAGATAGAAGTAATCACTTTATTTCAAGACATTTCAACTTTAACTATAAAACCTGTCACTTTCATAAAAATTCATCTTAACTCATTATATTAAATCTTTATTTTTAACCAGATTATCTATCGTAGGTCTGAATTGAAAAGTCTTATAAAGATAAGTATAATTCCATTTTACACATGATATTTTTCTTTTGCAATGTAGAAATATCAATAGAAACACATAAATGAGGAAATAAATGAAAATGAAGATTAGACGGAAGCTAAAAAAGGAAAAGCATAAATCCAGTCAAGTATTATCCATGCTTAATCAATGAAAGTAGGATAGAATCAGAAAATTGTTCAGTTAGATACATTTCATATGAAAGTAATCAATACTTATTGTAAATAATTAATCATTTTATTCATAATCTCAATACAATACATTCATGCAATTTTCACTAACTGGTCCATTCCTAGATACTAAACCACATTTTGTACAGATTTGGGAATCTCAGCGTTGTTAAACGAACATAGTAGTATAATCCATTCTACTTCTATCCTCCCATTGATTTATATTTCTTTCATTCGATACTGGCACAGAGTTTTACATTGAATCAAACTCCTCATTCATTATTTGTTGTTTATTCAATCATCAGTTTATTCAAATACCAAATTGAATTAAGATTTCTCAATATGTAAACACTAGTTATCTTTATGATGTTCACTAATGTAGGGATTAAATATACAATATGAGAAAAATTATTTACAAATAAATATGATGACATGAGAATTGATACAAAGATTAGAGTTGATTTCAATCATGAAATAATATCACTCACAGAACATTTGGTGTCCAACCAACATGCATAAGCAAGTGGCTATCAGGACTCGGTAGCTAAGTGGATAACGCGGTGAGACTATGATTTATGGACGACCTTTGAGCAACGCTAAAGTGACCATGAGAGTCATCACCTAATAACTAGGACCAAATGAAGATTATAAACCAGTGTGAGGAATTAGAATTGTGATTTACCGTTGATGGTTAGTGTTTGGAATTACATTTAAGGTTTTCATTACGTACTTACATCAGCTATAATGCCAAAATAGTATTTAGCCAAATGGATCGGTGAATTTCGCGCTAAAATCCGAGACCTCTTATCTTACACCTATTGGTTCGTTCATAAATTGTAGTCTCCGATAGCGCGATGGCATTTGAAGCGAATAGCACCGGATGAATAAGTGTCTTCTTTATAGATGGATATGTACGTTAGAGGAATACATAACTATAGACCTGATATCACAAGATAATGCTTAGAAGTAATAGAACATGAAGTAGAACTTGATCAGATAACACATGAGTATAGCCTCCCTAATAATGTGTGACAGTTCACTGACTTATTCATAAAACAACAAAGTTTACAAATGAAAGAATACAGTTTTTTATATTATGCGCAAATACTAAAAGAAATCATGAATACGCACTTTTTACAGTTTAGAACCCGGATGAATGGACCGTTTAGTTTCCATCAATTTTTTGTGGTTCTTCAAATAGTCAATATTCACAAAAAACTGTTTATTTTTAATACATTGAACATTTTAAAAGAATGAAGCTGAATAACTGTTATATTGGTTAAAACTATCTACAAGCTATGAAGTCAGTCAATAAGTGCTCAACAAACTTCATTTAGTAAATTCACTTAATGTTATTTTACTTGTATCTTCCCAATGTTATTTAGGACTGCAATTGACCAACAGGTACATCCAGCTGACGAGTCCCGAATGGGACGAGACGCGCGTCCTGGATTCCACTGCTAGCCACTGACCATATTTATTTAGTACATATTTAACTGAGATGAGTGCATATGAATTTGAGGTGTCAATTCCTTAGATTGAAAAAATTCACAGTTTAATTGTAACAATCCCAGTATATCAGAATCTAATATTCATTAAATGACTTAATAATGGTAAAGTGAAGGAAAAGTTTTAGTAAGAATGAAAGTTTTATTTAATTTTCAATATAGATTCACATAATAATTGAGAAATAAAATTAATTCACAATTAAACATTGTAAACTGAACTTATTTCCGAAAAAAAATTGTAATGACTCAATTACTGCGTAGGTTTTGTTCCAATTCTTATAAAAGGAATCAATCACATGAAATTGATGTTTTATTTAACGCTAAACTTATTCACATAAATTATTTAAAGTCAAATTATTTAGTATATTTAATTTTGAGTAACATTTTCAAAACTCAAATATTTTTAATGATAAAAAGTCAAAATGTCAGGTGAAAGTAATCAGTTCAATTCAGTCAAGTTTAGGTAGAATATAGCCAATGCTTCAACACAAAGTTTAGCATTGGATAAATGACAGTGATTTCACACAACTCTACGTAAACCAGTTCATATATATATATGTAAAGAGAAGAAATCATCTTACACAATTTTGAGTGGTGAGGTATCTATTTAAAGAGCTCCGAAAACATTTGAAGTTCCAAAGTCAGGTTGTTATAAATGGTAAACAAATATGTTTTTTTTATAGCTTCATCTATAATATAAATAAGTCATAAGATCACCCTTCAATACAAATTTCAACATCTAATTTATCAACTATCAAGAAGATATTTTCAAGTTTAGGAAAACTTTAGCTGACTCAAAATATCTACTATACTTTTAGTAACCTTTACGATTACAATTAATTAATTTGGTCATTTTTGATATTAAAACACAAATTTCAGCGAAGGGATCTCTTTTCAACGAATTTATTATCAAGCTGTGCAATCGTATATATATGAAAATTTTGTTCAATCATCCCGCGCTTATATGAACTACCGAAAGTACATAAACCGGGTTTACCGTTACGACCTATTTTGGATATGTCGGATTCACCATACCACAAAATCGCCAAATGGCTAGCGGAAATATTGGAACCGGTTAGAAGGAAAGTATCTAAATTTTCTATTCATGATACTTTTCAGGTTATTGATCGTATTAAGGACGTTAATACTTCCGGAAAACACATGTTATCGGTTGACGTTAACTCTTTGTTTACTAGCGTACCTTTAACCGGAACGATATGTTATATATGTGAGTATATTGATCCCAACAACATAGATCTAGGTTTGCCGACTGAACACTTGAAAGAATTATTGTTACGCTGTACTTTTAATGTCCAGTTTAGTTTCAATAATGAAATATATAGACAGAGGGATGGGATCACATTGGGTTCTCCATTGGGTCCGATTTTAGCAGATTGTTTCATGGCAAAACTAGAAAACGACCAACTAAGCTCAATGATCAATCAATTTCGCCTATAAGTTAGATATATGGACGACACGTTTATCGTTTGCGACAATAATATTGATTTAGAGGATATTTTACACACCTTTAACTCATTCCACCCTTCTATAGACTTCACGGTAGAAAGGGAACGGGACCAATCAGTTCCTTTTCTCGATGTACGCCTGATGAGAAGGAGTAATGGTTCGTTAGAGAGACCCATCTTTAGAAAACAAACATGGAATGGACAGCTAACCAACTTCTATAGCTGGGTTCCGTTAAGTAGAAAGAGAAACCTCATCCACTCTTTATGTTATCGAATACATCAGATATGCAATAAGGAATGCATTAACGAAGAACTCGAATTCCTCAAGAAAACCCTGACGGAAAATGGTTACCCAGAACGGTTCATAGAAAAGAATATGAATAGAAGTAGTCGCGACAAGAATTCTAGTTGTTCCGTTCCAAAGAAAAACCTTTATATAAGTCTGGAATTTAAAGGTGATCAAACATCAGACGCAATCAAAAATCGTCTAACAACAACTACTAGAAGAACATTTAATGCAGCTAAATTGCGAATAACCTTCACGAGTAGGAACTTATTTTCCGTGTCCATAAAAGACAAGCTTCCGCGTCTGGTCGCCTCCATGTGCATCTACCAGTTCACCTGCTCTTGTGGAGCAAGGTACATTGGCCGTAGCCAGCGCTCGCTTTCAACTCGGATACGAGAACATATCCCAGCTTGGTTCTATAAGGGAGAAAGGAAAGCAGTTAGGAGTTCTATACTTGAACACCTAATCGACTATAACCATTCAACAGATCCACAAATTGACTTTAAGGTTGTTTATATGATTCATTCAAATCTACCCAGATTTCTTCGCATCCAACTTTTAAAAATAGCCGAAGCTCTTACCATCCAGGAGCTTAAACCAGAATTATGCGTACAAAAGAAGTACGTCTTATCGTTATCGTTACCTTGGCCTTAAGCATTTTGATTATCCAATTATTATTATTATTATTATTATTATTATTACTGCATTCCCCCTTTACTTATGTCTTATATTCTCCTTGTTTTATTCGTAAATGCTCATCATATCACTTTATTTTTTACACCTCTATGACCTTTAATTATTATATCAAAAACATTTTAATCATCTTATTATATTCACTAAGTCTGTTGTTATTATTCATATTACGTAATCTAGTATTATAACCTTTTTATTAACTGTGTTCACATTTCCTCACGGAATTAGTACTTTTACAAAAACAAAATTTTCATATATATACGATTGTACAGCTTGATAATAAATTCGTTGAAAAGAGATCCCTTCGCTGAAATTCGCATTTTTGATATAGTGAATATGTGCAAAATATGTGTAAATCAAAGAGAATCACATTTACTTTATATCAAATTATTTTCATTAAAACCAATCATATTTAAATAAATAAATTTTAAAATAATATATCATCTAATAATAATAATAATAATAATAATAATAATAATAATAATAATAATATTAACTCACCTCAGTCCAGTAGGTATCAGTAATGATATGATATTCTGTTGTCTCACTGATACCTCCTCCTATTGAAGTAGTAATATTATGGATAGATTTTGTAGTTGTCATTTTCAATTCATTGTCATGAATTTGATCAGTATTTACATGTTCCATCGTTACAAACAAACAAACAAATAATAATTGTTATTAGAAATAACTATTAATCACAAAGCATTGAATACAGTAACTGTTCTAAAAGAAAAAAAAAGAGCTAAAAGTGTTTATTTTGCTATTTATTATTATTATTATTGTAATTGGATGTCTGCCAAATAAAATTCTGTAATAGTTTTAGTCTAGTGTGCAGTGTAATAGGCGTTCTAATAACAGTGTTTCATATATATATATATATATATATATATATATATATATATATATATATATATATATATATATATATATATATATATATTCTAAGTTGGTCTCCTATTGGTCAACTTATCCATAAATATTGATTATAACGATCACATACTTTAGCATAAAACTGCTCTATTCATAAATATATACATGATTAATTTGTATTTAGAACTCTAAATGAAGTATAAAATTTAACGTTTTAAAGATCTCGTTTTATGCTTATTTATTTGAGAATATTGAATTGAAGTATAATATAGAATAATGGAAACTGGTTTTATTTTGATAAGGAGATGAAATTTTGAAAAAAAAAGAAACTAGTCTACTGAGTAATTACAATTACTTGTTATCATTTTTTTTCATCTGGTTACTATTGTTGCCTTTTGTAAAAGGATATCTGAGTTTAAACAGACTGTTGATCAGGATTGATGTAAAGTTTTATGATTAGAACACTACATTATGTATTTCCACTTTGTTGATTGTAATTCATAGTAGTTTTTATAGAGGTGTAAATTATATGTCCGTTCTTAATATGATTATTTCCAAAAACAAAATACACAAAAATATAATATTTAAGTTTTGTGGAATTTCGCTTATTTTAGTTAATTAAATTATCCTCTCTTAGAGAGATACTTCATTGTCGCGTTAATTCACTGTTTGAACCATATTTACATCACTATTAACATAGTAAAAAAACTACTTCTCTGTACGTGATGTATATATGGATGAGAAGTTTAAAGTTGATTTTTCTTTAGTATTCAAACTGATACGGGCTTATGGAGACCTTCATAAATCTCAATAGTAATTATTCATCTACTCTCTAATGACTGACCCTGAGTGGCAATTAAGGAGTTCCAATGAGAAGCTGTGACCAGTAAAGTTCGATTCAGTTGAATGTCGAACAGTTATCCATCAAGTACTTTGAGAAATTATTGCACTATTCCATGAATTGATCGAAGTTAAACGTATCAACCATGGCATGCCGTCTCAGAGTTTGCTTCCAAATTCGATCCCTGGTGGCGTCGTTATGGATGTGCACTTTTTGAAGTCCCATTCTAGAGAGAAATGGGTATCTACTGCTTCCTGGTGTCCACTGGCTATTTAACTAAGTTCATTCTTCGATGTAATCACTTTTATTTGATCTCCATATACTACGCCTTCCATATAAAAGTAATATGTTTGTCCTTACTAATCTTTATTTCAGAGCATACTAAAAAGTTGTTTGTTGCAAAAAAGTATAAACTTTGGTTTAATTTAAATTGGTATATTGTGCGCTGTAAGATACATTGATTGATTTACCAAACAAATGTTTATATCTTTGGTTGTGTGAAACAAATAACTACTAAATCTCGTTGGTGACACATCTATTATGATTTAGCCAGGTTACTCAATGAGGTTGAAATATATTGCTCAGCAAGCATGAGAAATGCTGCTATTAGGTGTGTGGTATTATGAAGAAATCGTAAATCGGGTGATGAATGTATTAAATGGTTGGAACGTGTGATATGAGTGTTTAGCCAATCCAAATTGCGGTGCACAATACAAGTTTATGTAGGAGTAGCCGTGAAGAAAGCTAAGCGTAACCAGACAAATAAGTAGCACCGATCCACGAATTCTTTAAACAGGCTGGGATTCTGTTATCCCGGTTGTGACCACCATGATAATTACTTTCTTTTGTTGAACACCACGAACCGTATGTCTCATGTGTTCTATTGACGAGAATGCAATAATACTTCATTTTTATCTTAATGTCAAATTTTGATATTATCCTATACTTCTCAATCCCCGAATTCATTTGTTATTTTCATACTATATTTTTATGTCTATCTATCCACCACCCTTTAGGGAATAATTTGTGAGTGACCAATTGTAAAACAAGAATCAGTATAAGGAGAAAACGACTAATCGATAACTAATTAATTTGATGAAAAAATAATTTAAAAATGAAAATTATTAATTTCAGATTGTTTTTCTAATGATTTTTTCCATGTAAATTACCAAGATGAACTGTTGATTGCCATTTAATTTTAAACTCTAAGTGACACGTTGCTCCGTTAAATGTTGGTTTGCTTTGTATAATTGTTTTAGCACAACAATATCGAAGAAACAATGATTTGCAAGTCATATTGAAATGAGTGACTTTGATGTTTTAAACATTTCGATTGACTACGAAAATATTTTCGTATTTCTCTTTTTTATATCATGCAACGTAGCAACTGCTTGGTTTTCGAATAATCACTTTGATTATCAGAAGGGGTTTGTGGAGATTTTAGAAATTTCACAGATTGAAATCATGAGTCAGTTGAAGCTAGACCATTTTGATTATTATTAATCCTCTTTCTTCCGATTACTCAATTTTAATTGTTATGTCATTATATAATTATTACGCAAAGTATCCACTCGATGACTATTATTTGATTATTGTAAATCATATATATGGAATTTCTTCGCTCGATAATTATCTAAAGGGTAATGTTGTGTAATGTTTATTACCAATTAACCAAGCAAATGTTGGCTAATTTAATCCGAATAAGTAATATCCTATAATTACTTCGTTTTAAGCGATATCAAGTCATATGTCCCTTGGTGTCAAGTGATTTATGAGTAAACAAAAATAAATAACAGAGATTGTGTCATAATCACATTTACAAGGAAATTTATGAACCCTTGTAGACGAAGATGGTATGAATGGTTGAATAGATGGAAATAGTTGGCGTTGGTAGCTAATTTTTTGTGAATCAATGTATATATTTTTAATATGTATTAATTATATAGTTGATTTATAGTATTTTGATATTGATCAAAATATCCTACGCAACAAATTATTCTATATATTTTTGTGTTCAAAAATTTTTATTAATTCTTTATAGACCTGTTCCTCAGGCTGCACAATGAAGGTACTAATTATTTGTAGATGATGATTTTTGATGAGTTGTGAACTTGAGTTGCATGCACATAATCATGCGAGTTTCAAGTCCACTATTATGTAAAGTACGTGGTTGGATTTCCAGTGTTCTGATTGGTATTTAGAGGGACAGGGTAATACATTGTGTGGACTAATGGAATATTGATAATTTGAGTAACTTCGCTGTTTGTGTCATAATTAGCGTGGGCTTGATAAAGAACACTGAATTTTTGTTTAATATGTCACAACTTTGTTTCAGGGACTGAATATACTACGAATATTACCGTTCTTTTTTTAGAAAAAACGGCTTAAATATTGCTAGAATATAAAACACTTATTTGAAATTATATACTGAAAGACTTTTTATTTGTATACTTTATCTCAGTTTCCATTGTGTTTTGAAGTGTCACAGGGTGTTACAAGTCACAACTATATTCACTATTTACCTTCGTTTCATTGATAACTCAGTGAAATTCTTGATATAATTGTAAACAGGAGAAAGTATTTGGAAAACTTCGATTGTAGTTAGGGGTCGGGTACTAGATGTTTATTTTGTCCTATATAGAATTCGGCATCTGGATTTACCTGCTAGCAGTGTTCATTTTTATTACCTCGGTGAATAACAAAATAGTGTTTGAAGAGAAAGATACTAGATTACTATGTGAACATTAGCACTAGAATACAGGTACATGTATAGCTAACTAGAAACTCACATTATGAACTGGAGTAATACCTCCAACACAACTTTGCTATAACTTTAGAATAAATGAAATTACTTGAACAATCCAATGTTGATGCAAATATGTCAATAGGGACTGATCAAATTCAGTCCTTAACAAAAACAATAAAAAAATATAAGGGTTTTTGTGGAGACTGTAGTAATTTCAATATTCGAAATCATGAGTCAATTGAAGCTAGACCACCATGGAAAACCGGAAAGCACTGGACAGTCGTTTCTTCCTATTGTGGGAATCTTCAGCAGTGCGCACCCACCACCTCGATACAAAGGATTCGAACCCAGTACTTATCAGTCTCGCGCGCGAGCGCTTAACTAATAGACCACTGAGCCGGTCGGCATCCAACAGTGTTAACGTCTGACTTCAACTAATCCACGAAATTGAGTGACTTTTACAAAGAAAAACAAACAGTTCTTGTTAAAAAAGAAGATTGCGAATTCCAAGTTAGTCAAAATCTTTCAGTTTAAGGTGCATTGCAAAATAACAATTCATTTAAAATGGGTTACTTGTTAAACCACCAAAGTTGTATAACATTTGTATACTGAAACATATATTTTTTTAATAGCTGAACTGAGAAATGGCATTGACCAAGCGAAATATAACATGCTGTAAAATTTTTATTCTGTTTTCTGATTGACATGCAAAATTAATTGAGAAATTGATAAAATAAACAGTGATTAATTAATAATGAACGATTGTGAATGATTTAAATCTTGATTATTTCAAACAATAGTTAACAAGTATTTAATTTTTAAGTAAAATTACGAGATCGATAAGTTCTGGGTTCGAGTCTCGCGAGGAGGCATCATGGATGCTCACTGCTGAGGAGTCCCACAATAAGACGAAACGACAGTCCAGTGCTTCCAGGTTTTGTATGGTGGTCTAGCTTCAATTGACTCATGATCTGAACTATTAAAATTACTATAACATCCACAAAACTCCTTCTAATAAAATTACTTGACCTTTAGTTTTTTGGAAAGGGTTGAAACTAACCAAAGTTTAAACTCCACATTATCTAGTGTACTTTGTATCTTTAATTAAAGCAATACATTTTAATCATAATTATATTGTATTACTGATATAAGTTTAACTATACGGATATATTCATATATAATTATTAAATGTTATAAAAGATTCTAACTTTACACTTAAATCAGTATTTATTTTGTTAAGAGAATCATTAAACCAGTTCATGTTATCAATCTTATATTCACTATTTTCTAATTTATTTTCTCGCTTTAATGAAAACTTATTATAAAAAAGTTGTTTGTATATTTACAATTATACATATTATGCTTGTTATTTACTACTGATTATTATCCATCC